CTGGAGACACTGCACCAGGGGAGACTGGCCCAGGAGGACATGGGGACCTGGAGACACTGCACCAGGGGAGACTGGCCCAGGGGGGGACGGGGACCTGGAGACACTGCACCAGGGAGACTGGGCCCAGGACACAGGGGCCTGGTGACAGTGCGCCAGGAGCACACTGACCCTGGACAGCAGGCGGCACGTGCTCCTTTCCGTGTCCTCCTGTGCTGGAGGCCACTGCCCGTCCTTGGCTTCTCCCTGAGTTTCGTCACCAGGTGGCAGAACCAGGAAAACCGCACCCTGGTGGTGACAGGAGTATAGAGGAGGGCTGGTCAGCCTGCAGTGACACCAGGTCACAGGTCCTTTTTTCTCTCAGCACCTGGTCCCACTGGCGGTTGCATGGTGAGGGTGTCCCTTCAGGACCTTGTTCTGGGCTGGGGACGTCCTGCTCATCCCCGGGATCCGTGTGCTGCTGTTGGGAGGTACGCCCCAGCTGTGTTCTGACGCTTTCTTTAACCCTCCAATGACGGCGCGTTCCTGGGGTGGTGCCGTGTGTCCCGCACACAGTGGGTGGCGGCCGTGCAGGCTGACACCTCTGTCCCTCCACATGTCAGTGTGGTGTCTCTGTGGTGACAGCATGGGGTATGCCCATTTAGAAACTTCCCCGTGCAATACATCATTAAGTGTATTTGGTGCATAACAGTCCACTTCTGGAAAGTCGTAAAAACTAGAAAATAATAAAACACTTTTTAAAAATCTTGCAGTGGGTTGAAGGAATGCCCCCCCCCCAAAATCCATACTCTGATCTCTCACTCCTGGGGATGAGGGTCTCTGCAGAAGGAGGGTCTTGGCATACTAATTCAGTTTAATGTCCTGGAATAAGCTGATCCCGGGTCAGGGTGGCCCTCATGCAACGGCCGTGTGCACATGGGTGTGTACGAGCCTCGAGTGCATCAGGGTACGTGTGGGCCAGTGTGTGTGCGCATGAGTGTGTCCCGAGTGTGTGCGAGCCCCTGGGCGCTTGTGTGTGTGTGCCTTGGGTGTGCACATGAGTGTGTGTGAGCCCCTGGGTGCTTGAGTGTGTGTGTGCGCGCGCCCCCGGTGCAGTGAGCCAGGCCAGGTGAGTCAGCCGGCGCAGGGCGGGCAGCTGCGAGGTCGGGGTGGCCCCGCGGGGTGCAGTCAGGAGGCCCATCACGGGGCAGCACCGCCTCTTGGCTCCCGGGCTCAGACCCGTGATTAAACCTCAAGAGAGAGCAAGTGGCTGCCAAGGTCCTGGGGCCCTGGAGGCCTGCTGTGCCCACTGTTCCTTTGCCAGGAGGGGGGAGGCCCACTGCGGCGGGCAGGATCGGGCTGGGCAGGGCCGGCTCAGCCACCCCCACAAGAGGCCGCGCAGGCCCGCAGGACGCCCGGGGATGCCGGCAGGGCCCGCGCCCCGCCCCTGGAAGAAGGCCCCCGCAGAACCCGCAGAACACCCCACCCCCAAACAACGCCCCCCAGAACCCAAAGAACACCCCCCACCCCCAAAGAACGCCCCCCAGAACCTTCAGAACGCCCCCCCACCCCCGAGGAATGCACCCAGAACACCCCCCACCCCCATAGAACGCCCCCCAGAACCACAGAACGCCCCCCACCCCCAAAGAACGCCCCCCAGAACCCGCAGAAGCCCCACCTCCACCCCCGAAGGCAGGCAGGGACCGCAGGACGCCCAGGGAGGTCGCGCAGGACCCCAGCCAGAGGCTGGCTCCTCCGGCCCCACGTGCTCATGGTCCCTCACAGGCAGTGGCCACCCCAGGGGCAGGAAGCTGGGGACCCGCAGCCCTGGGCTCCAATGGGGCTCTCCAGAGGGTGCGGCGGGGAAAGCCGAGCCGTGCACTCTCTTGAAAGGTGGGTCGTGGGCGCTGGGAAGGAGACCCTCACCTCCTGACTCCCTGCACCCAGCCCAGGGAGGAGGACCTGGGGGGCAAGAGGGACCGTGAGGAAAGGGGTGGGGGTGGGGCATGAGGGGGCCAGGGCGGCTCAGGGGGTGTGGGGGGCTGTGCCTCACTGTCCTGTCCCCGCCTGTTCCCTGAGGAGACAGAGGGGGCCCTCAAGAGCAGCCCTGGAGGCTGGGAAGAGCCTGGGGTCTGAGCTGGACCTCAGGGTGAGCAGATTCCAGGACCCCCACCCTGCACAAGTGGGTGTCTTTGGGTGCATCTGGTTGCTCCCCACAGTACGGAGCACACAGTGTGATAGTACTGAGCACTGTGACGGTGCTGAGCACCTACTATGTGACGGTGCTGAGCATCCACGGTGTGACACTGCAGAACACCCACTGTGTGACACTGCTGAGCACCCACTGTGTGACACTGCTGAGTTCCCACTGTGTGACACTACTGAGCACCACTGTGTGACACTGCTGAGCTCCCACTGTGTGACACTACTGAGCACCCTCTGTGTGACATTGCAGAACACCCACTGAGTGACACTACTGAGCACCCACTGTGTGACACTGCAGAACACCCACTGTGTGACGGTGATGAGCACCCACTGTGTGACATTGCAGAACACCCACTGTGTGACGGTGATGAGCACACAATGTGTGACACTGCTGAGCACCTACTGTGTGCCTGCCACTCACCAGGCCCCTCTGTGCTGCTTGGGGACACCGTGCTCCCTTTTCTGGTCCTCTCCAAGGCAGTGGGTGACAGGAGAGGTGGCGGCTTCCCAGGTGGCGAGATCTGAGCCTCCTTCCCTGGGTGTGAGGCCAGGGCCAGGGCCAGGGTCAAGGTTGGGTTTAGGGTGGGTCAGGGTCAGGGTCAGGGTCAGGGTTAGTGTTTATTGTTCAGTTTGGGGTCAGAGTCAATGTCTGTGTCAAGGTCAGGGTTGGGGTTAGGTTCAGGTGGCCTCGTAGCAGAGCCCACTTGCTGGGACAGAGGACCCTGTCCTCTGAGGAGGTCTGTGCGCAGGGCCACACCTCTGTGCTGAGACGAGGGTGGCCCCAGGCTGAGCAGCGCAGGTAAAGAACAGTTTTCACCCACTCAGGCCCTGGGGACGTGACCTTCCAAGGGCGTGCGCGTGCTGTTAGAGGGTCTTCTGTCCCCAGGTGAGGAGGTGGCAGAGGATGTGACAGTCCCTGGAGAGGCCTGGACCAAGGATGACCAGAGGGCGGCCCAGCCAGCAAAGAAGGCAGGCTCCTAGGCCTCCTGGGAAGGAGGGGGGGCTGGGGCCCTGACACAGACTGACCAGACACAGTGCTGCCCGCAGCTGCAGTCCACGGGGTGGGGGGACAGTGGGGTGCGCCAGCTGCAGTCCACGGGGTGGGGGGACAGTGGGGTGCCCCAGCTGCAGTCCACGGGGTGGGGGGACAGTGTGGTGCCCCAGCTGCAGTCCACGGGGTGGGGGGACAGTGGGGTGCCCCAGCTGCAGTCCACAGCTGCCCCAGCTGCGTTGCATGGGGTGGGAGGTGAGGGCACGGCCCCATGGTTCGGGTCCAGCTGGGGTGTGACAGTAGGTTCCTGTGTGCGGACCCCGGGAGATGCTGGGCATTGGGAGCCGGGCACGTCTTCCCACAGGCTCTCCACGTGCCGCGGACGCCTGCTCTCTGGGTGGTGGGCAGGTCTGGGGACAGCAGAGAGCTCTGCCGAGGTCCACATCGTCCTCCCCCACCCTGCAGGTCTCCAGAGGGGGCCAGTACGCGCACAGCACAGGACAGAGCCCGGGAGGCTGGGCTGCAGCGTCCCCGGCCGGAGGCCCGCAGAGCGGTGGCAGGGCTGGGGAGGGGCAGGAGTGACGGCCAGCCTGGGGGTCTCCCGAGGTGGGAACCTTGTCTGCATCTCAGGCCGTGTGACCAGGCTGTCCTGCCGGAACCCGAGTGAAGACACGGTGGGTACAAAAGCCCACGACGCAGATCACGCCTGTGCATGTGAACGCAGGTGCCTGGGCACGCCGTGCGGTGTCCTTCTGTGTCCACACGGTGCTCAGCACTGCGCTAACGGGCCGCGGGCCGGAGCCTGCCCCTGCGTTAGCTCCGGCGGTCAGGGAGCTGGGGCTGCGGCGGGCCACCCAGGACGCCGTCGGCACGTCCACCCTGCAGGACCTTCTGTAGAGCAGCCTCCTGTGTCAACCAGAAGTTGCAAGGATGAGCAACCACATGGGACGAGTGTCCAGGATGCAGTGGGCACAGCCCGATGGCCTGGGGTGGGCTGAGGAGGGGCCACTGAGGAGGGAGGTCACTGGTCAGCAGGGCAAGATCCTCTGCATGGACCGTGGCCAGTGCCTGACCAGCTCTGGGCCACACGAGTGGCAGCAACAGTCTTCTGTTAGGAGCAGGGGACAAGAGGACCTGGGTAGGGCTCCAGGGGGCAGCAGCTGTGCGTGGACCTGAGGTGGACGCTGGCAATTATTAAAATCTGTGCGTGGCATGCTGTGCACGGGGTGTGCGTGCTGTGCACAGGGGGGTGGCGTGTGCATATGTGGGACATTCTGTACGTAGTGTGCACGCATGCCGTGTGCGCGTGACACAGGTGTGCTGCTGCACGTGACAGTCTGTGTGTGTGGTATGCCGTGGGTGTGGTGCTGGGTGTGCCTGGTGTGTGCTGGGTGTGCGCGGCGAGTGCTGTGCCTGCGTGGTGTTACATGTGCGTGGCGTGTGCTGTGTGTTCGTAGCGTGTTACATGTGCGTGGCGTGTGCACTGGAGTGAGGAGCGTGGTGCAGTGCGGCATGTGCGTGAGGGTGTGCTGCAGCGCCGTGGCCCCGGGAGCGTCTCCACTCCCCCTAGCGGAGGGAGCTGCGAGGTGCGCTCGTCAGGGAGCGTCTCTGGGCAGACGACTGCCAGGCGGGTGGGCTGACGGCGGGAGGAACCGGCAGATCCTGGGCTGCGGATTGCAGGGCGGGGCCAACGCCAGCTCCTTTCCCGAATCTCTGGGCTTTTATCGGGTTTGAAGTTTTCCAGGAGCCCAGGGTAAGCGGTCGCCGCGGGAGCCAGGAGGTGGGCTCCCCTGACCAGGCCAGTGCGCGGATCCTCGTCCCAGCGTGGGAGGACGGGGCGGAGACTGCAGAGGAGGAATTCCAGGGCGCTGGCGGCAGGGCCTTGGGAGCCCCGGGGGTGGGGAGGTGAGGACCCCATGACTCAAGAAGACCCGGGAAAACAGAAAGGAGCAGCACCCCAACAACGTAGAGCACAGCACAGACTCCCTGAGACTCAGCACCCAGCACCACTGCAGACAGCACAGCACAGACTCCCTGAGACTCAGCACCCAGCACCACTGCAGACAGCACAACAAACACAGCCTGAGACTCAGCACCCAGCACCACTGCAGACAGCACAGCACAGACCTCCCTGAGACGCAGCACCCAGCACCACTGCAGACAGCACAACAAACACCTTCCTGAGACTCAGCACCCAGCACCAGTGCAGACAGCACAGCACAGACCTCCCTGAGACTCAGCACCTAGCACCACTGCAGACAGCACAGCACAGACTCCCTGAGACTCAGCACCCAGCACCACTGCAGACAGCACAACAAACACCTTCCTGAGACTCAGCACCCAGCACCAGTGCAGACAGCACAGCACAGACCTCCCTGAGACTCAGCACCTAGCACTACTGCAGAGAGGACAACAAACACAGCCTGATATTCAGCACCCAGCACCACTGCAGAGAGTACAACGAACACCTCCCTGAGAGTTAATACCTCGCACCATTGCAGACAGCACAGCACACACCTCCCTGAGACTCAGCACCCAGCACCACTGCAGACAGCACAGACCTCCCTGGGACATAGCACCACTTGGAGGATGCTCCCCAGACCCGCAGATGGAGGAGGATCAGCAGCTCAGAGGTTGTAAGTAACCACCTGGAGCCAATTTGTTGACCTGCCTAAGACCCCGTGAGGAATCATCAAGTCCCCGGGGAAGTCTGAAACAGCCGACACCAGGCTCTGGGTCAGCCCCTGGGAGCTGTCTGTCTGGTGGTTTCTGATGCAACCTGAACGTTCAGGTTCCTGCTGCTGCAGCACGGCCTTCAGAGAAGGAGGGTCCGTCCAGACTTGTCTTGGAGATGCACCCAGATCTGCAAAGTCAGGTGACACGGGCACCTCTGCTAGAACTGGGTGTCACATGCACATCGGCTAAGTCAGGGTGACAAAGGGAAATCTGCAAAGAGAGGGTGACACGGGGACCTCTGCTAAGTCAGGGTGACGCAGGGAAATCTGCTAAACTGGGTGGCACATGCACATCGGCTAAACTGGGCGGCCTGCGCCTAAATCTGCTAAAGCAGGTGACGCGCACGCAGAGCCGCTAAAGCCAGGTGACCTGCGGCTGGTTTTCCAGCCCAGGGCCCTTTGGGCAAGGGAGCCCTGTGGGTGGTGTCCGCCTGGCCCTGCCACAGGCCCCTCTGGCCCCTGCAGTCCATCTGGTGGACCCCTGAGCAGCTGGTGGTATAGCTCTCCGGGCACCACAGCGAAGCCCCGCAGCCGGGGGCCCCAACAGCAGAGATGTAGCTCCTCGTCCCAGAGGGTAGAGGTCCACGGTCCAGGCGTGGGCAGGGCGGGCTCCTCCCGAGGCCTCTCCCCTGGGCTGGCAGCCGCCGTCTTCTCCCTGTGTCCTCCCGGGGCGTCCCTCTGTGTGCGTCTGTGTCCTCTTCTTACAAGGACCCCAGTCCTGCTTGGCCAGGGCCACCCTGGGACCTCACTGCACCTCCATCCCCTCTGTAAAGACCTGTCTCCACACAGCACATCCCAAGGTCCTGGGGCCAGGGCTGCAGCACAGGAGGGGGGGGACAATTCAGCCCATATGAATCCCAACCAGGAACGGATCCTTATTTGGAAACAGGGTCTCTGCAGAGGTCGTTAGTGAAGGGTCCTGAGATGGGCTCCTCCTGGGTCAGGTGGCCCTCATGCCATGGCCATGTCCTCACGAGAGACAGAGGAGGGGACACACACCCAGAGGAGGAGCCACATGGAGAGATTGCAGTGAGGGGCCACCCGCCCAGGGCCACCTGGAGCCCAGGAGCTGGACAGGCAGGAGGGGCCTCCCTGGAGCCCGTGGAGGGAGCTGGACGCCATGGTGAGAGGTGGAGGGAGCTCCCCTGGGACCCTGGTCCAGCCTCTGCCCTCCGGGGCTGGGGCGCTGGACTCTGAGGCTTGGCAGACCCTCATCCCCGGTTGGTTCACTGTCATGGAGGCCCTGCACCAGCCATCCTCTGACCCACGTCTGCCCCTGGAGACCCCTGGTCCTGCTGGCCAGCACTGTTGGGCAGTTTCTTCTGCCCATCTGGTCAGCAGCACTGTCCACAGCCCACCAGGGACACTTGGCCTCCTTGTTCACCCTGCAAAGCCAAAGGGGCCCCACGCACAGCCTGTGGCCACAGGGATGGTGCATCTCGCAGGGGGACGCCACCCCACGGGGACAATGCCACCCTCACAGGGATGATGCCACCCTCACAGGGATGATGCCACCTTCACAGGGATGATGCCACCTTCACAGGGACAATGCCACCTCCACAGGGATGGTGCCACCCCCACAGGGACAATGCCACCATCACAGGTGTGGTGCCACCCCCTCAGGGACATGCCTCAGGTGCTCAGAATGTCCGCCACCTCAGCACTCCCCGCTGGACCTGGGAAGGACAGACACAGCCCCTCCATGGGCTGTGGGACCTCCGCTCACAGAGGGACAGCAGACCCTGGGGTGTCCCCCATTGCCGACCACGATGGCACGGAGGCACAGGGACGGGGCTCGGGGAGACCACAGGCGTCCCAGCCTCGCTCCCCACCAGCTGGGTCCTCAGACAGAGGCCCCTCAGGGGAAGTCAGGGTGTCTGGGTGGCCAGCGCCCCCACACCCGCATGGACTAGGGGTGCCAGCCGGGGTCCCCAGCTCTGGGTTCCACAGGTGCCCCCGCCGCCTCTGTCTGGGGACCCGCCTGCCCGCTCCTCGGCTCCCGCTCGCCACCTGCTGACGGAGCTCGGCTGCTGCGCTGACCCTGCGCCCAGGCCCCGCCCAGGCCCGCGTCCCCCGGCTCCCTCCCGGCCTGGCTCCCTCTCAGTCGCTGACCCCTGGCCAGGGCCCCCCCCCCCCCGGCCACGATGGCGGCTGAGCCCCTGGAGCCCCGTGTCCTTTGCCGTCCGTGGTCTTCGGGGGTGGGCGTCGCTTCCCGGTCAGGACCCGCCTGCAGCGTCCCTGCCCCCCAAGCCGGGCCTTCTCCGAGAGACGCTGCGGCATGGCCCTGACCCCAGGAGCTGCGGGGACAGCGCCCGCCCGGGCTGAGGGCTGCAGGAGGTCGGGCCGGGACCGTCCGTCCGTGCGCTGCAGGCGCGGCCCTCACCGAGAGGGGCGGGGCTCGCTCGGCGTCCCCTCTGCGCTCTGGGTACAGAATTCCCGGAACGCGCGCTGTGCTGCGATGGTCGCTCGGTTTGCACTCTGGGCTGAGAGTCACTTGCGGGAGGCCGTTTCTGGAGGTCCCCCTGCATGACCCCACCCCCAGGCGCAAGGACACGGTCTTCCACCGACTTGTCCAGGCAGCAATTCCAGGACGATTCCGCTGTGCTGTCCTGGGTTCCAGGCGCCTTAGGGCTGCTCTGGGTGGTGGACCGTCCCCACCCTCGGGGCAGCACCGGCACACTCTGGTCTGTCCCTGCCTCGGGGCAGCCCCGGACATGAGGCCGTCTTCCCAGAGCTTGGCAGACAGCCCTGGGCAGTTCGACCGAAGGGAGGTCCCCGCCGGCAGCAGCTCAGTCGAGGAATGGTGCAGCCTGCCCACTTGTGGCAGTGAGCCATCAGTGTGACCCATCCGAAGACCGTCAGGGCCATGTCCCTCATGACACCTCCTGTGTCCTCGGGATGCCCTCTTCCAGCTCTGCTGGAATATGTGACAGATCGTCGAGGTCACCCCACATGCTGTGGAACACGCGTGTGTGCTTCAGTGACACGGAACACGTGTGTGTGCCTACGAAGCTCTCACGGAGCTGTGTACAGGAGGCACAGAAACAGAAGCCCCGAGTTCCCTCCATGGACCTGCTGGAAGCTCCGCTTGGGGTCAGCACAGTTCCCTAACCTGGGAGACCAGGTCTGGGACACATGTGCCCCCTCCTGTGTCTGGGAGGACGTCAGAGCCCCCAAGGGCCAGGGGTCTTGTAGACCACTCGCGGCTCCCTGCCCTACACCACAGCCACCTCCCTGGGCCTGGGGAACCCTCGCAGCACAGCCAAGCCCCAAAGGTGAGCTCTGACATGGACAGGTCACTGGGTCTGTGTCCACCCAGAAGACAGGAGACCTCTTCTAAAGATCCTTCACTTCATTTCACGGGCAAGGACCTTTCTCCAGAGAAGGTCTTGTTCAGTGTCTGAGGATTCGAATGTAGATGCGTCCTCTGTGGGTCGAACAGTGTGTCCCACATTCATGTCACATGGAATGTCAGACAGGACCTCGATTGGTAACAGGGTCTCTGCAGAGGTCATCAGTGAAGGGTCCCGAGATGGGCTCCTCCTGGGATAGGGGGCCCTCATGCCATGGCCATGTCCTCCCAAGAGACAGAGGAGGGGACACAGACCCAGAGGAGGAGCCCCGTGGAGACGGAGGCAGAGACTGGAGTGAGGGGCCACCAGCCCAGGGCCACCTGGAGCCCAGGAGCTGGACAGGCAGGAGGAGCCCCCTGGAGCCCTGGAGAGAGCTCAGCCCGGGACCCTGGTCCAGCCTCTGCCCTCCAGGGCTGGGGACCTGGACTCCTGTTGTTGAAGTCCCTGAGAGTGGCCATCAAGCCCAGGACACTCCCACAGGGCCACCGCGACCGCCCACCCTGCCCATGTTGGAAGAGACGGGAAGGTCTCCCCTGCCAGCCCCCAGGCAGGACCTGCTGGCCATGGCTCTTCTGAAGCGCTGCGTGGAGCATTTTGTGCTGGTGGCCCCCCGTCCTCCCTGATGTGCAGGGAGGACCCCACCCCCACATCCGGGGTCCACCCAGCCCGTGGGAGGCGCCGTGGGGGGGCACGGTCCTGATGCCCAGTCCTGTGCTGGTGCCTGGGGCCCACAGGCCAGCGAAGCCTCCCTGGCCTCTCCTCAGAGAGGCGGTGGGGACAGACCTGGGGGTGGGGGGGCTCTGGACGTCACAGTGTGGAGAGCTCCTCCTGTGGAGAGGGCTAGGGGCCACCTGAGAGCCCCCGCCTCTGCCCTCCTGGGACCCGCAGCCGCCCTGCCGTGCCTAGGACCCCTCAGAGGGCACTGTGCCTGGCCCTCCCTGGGACCCACGGCTGCCCCTGGCCCTCCCTGGGACCCTCAGCTGCCCTGGCCCTCCCTGGGACCCATAGATGTCCTGGGCCCTCCCCTCGGCAGCCCCCACTGACGGCCTCCTGGGAGGGGTCCTCGTGCACCAGGGCTCTGGTGGCCTGGGCAGTGGCCCCTCGTGCCCTTGGCAGCGTCTGCAGCAGCTCAGACGCCCTTTGCTTCACGACCTCCCGGTCTCCCGAGTGGAGCCAGCTGTGGTCTCCAGTGGGGGACGCTGGGCCAGCCACTTGGGCCCACGTGACTCCGGGTCCCTGTGTCTCGCCCGGCTCTGGGCACTAGCTGGTGCTCACGCTGCCCCCGGGACGAGCACTGGCTGAGCTCCTGCAGCAGCCCTGGCCCCGGGCCTGATCCGCCAGTGAGCACACACTCCCGCCCTCCCGGCCCGTCCAGTGGACGCACAGGCTGGCTCCGGTGGACACCAGTTCCTGCCCTCCAGGCCTGTCCAGGGGGTGCTTACACACAGGCTGTCTCCAGGGGACACCTGTCACTGCCGTCCAGGGTGTGCTCGACGCAGGCTGGTTCTAGTGGACACCTGTTACTGGTGTCCAGGGGGTGCTCGACGCAGGCTGGCTGCAGTGGACACCCCTCACTGCTGTCCAGGGGTGCTCAGACGCAGACTGGCTGCAGTGGTCACCTGTCACTGCTGTCGAGGGGGTGCTCAGACGCAGGCTGGCTGCAGTGGTCACCTGTCACTGCTGTCGAGGGGGTGCTTGGACGCAGGCTGGCTGCAGTGGACACCCCTCACTGCCGTCCAGGGGGTGCTTGGACACAGGCTGGCTGCAGCACCTAGGAGTACATCCTGAGGGTGGAGCTGAGGGCCCTCCTCTTCCCTGGGGAGGACATGTCCCCCACCTGGCCCATCTGCGGGTCCTCCAGGGCAATGAGAGGTGGCCTGCAGGACAGACGGGCCTGGGCTCGGGTGTCCCAGGAGAGGCCCCACACTGACCCCTGCCAGGCGTCACTCCTGGCTCCCGTGTCCCCCATTCTCCCTAGAGCCAGGCCATGGTGGGGTTAGGGTCAGGGTTAGGGTCCAGCCCCCCAACCTGACCCTGACAGAGCCCTCCTCTGGCTGCAGTGACATGAGTGTCGAGCCCCCCAGGCCCCATCCACGATGCCCAGAGGCCCTGGCCGCTCCAGCTCCTGAGTGGCCACCAGAGGACAGCTGCACACTGACCTCAGGGGAAGGGCCCAGCCAGACGCAGCCCCCTGGGGCCACCTGCAGGATCTCCGCATCCGAGGTGGGTGAGGAGCATAGAGGGGTTGTGCCTGGACCCGGGTGGGTCCCAAGGTGCTTCATTACGCACCTGCGAACGCCCCCCACCAAAGCACCCGCAGTCTGCAGCCTGCTGTCCCCAGGCCTGCGTCGGACACTGAGCAAGAGCTGCCGGTCACCTCCCGCCTCCCACAGCCTCCCGGTCTCCTCTGCACCAGGAGTGCCCGGGGAGGGACCCTGGACGTGCACAGTGGAGGGCAGGCTCAGGGTGTGCAGTGACCGGGGCACGCTGGACGGAGGAGGCAGCTGGCAGGTGGACTCTGCCTCCTCCCAGTCCTCCTACTGGGCTGAGACGCTTGGGAGGCATCCAGGGTCACCGTGTGGCACTGCCCGAGGCTCCTCAGGTGCACAGTCACCCTCCTGTCACCGAGCTGCCCCGGGGCCCCAGGAAGCAGCTGTGGAACCTCACTCGGACACTTCTGGGGGTGCCGGCCGGGACTGCGTGCAGAGGAGGCTGGCGCTAGCAGACAGTCATGAGGTGGGCTCAACCCTGCTGGGACGTCCAGACAAGAGAAAGCCGGACACTTCACCAGGACCACAGCAGGAGCCAAGCAGCACCAGAGATCGCAGAGTACATCCACGGGGGTGGGCGGACGCGGTGGTGCAGGGCCCTAATCCCAGCCACGTGGGAGGCTGAGGCCGGAGGATCACAAGTTGGAGGCCAGCCTCAGCAACTTGGAGAGACTCTCTCTCAAAGTAAACATGGAAAGGGCTGGAGATCAGCTCAGTGGCAAAGCAGCCCCCAGTACCACGCCTGGGAAGTCCAGGAGCCAGTCCAGCACAGGGTGGGCTCGGAGGGGCCAGTGCGACCAACAGTCTGCCGTGTGGGTCAGGAGGTGACCCTCGGGGCCTTGCGGTGCTCTGTCCCCAGCACCGTGAAGAAAGGCAGAGGATGCACTTCCCACCTCATGAGCCTGGCTAGGGCTCCGCTGGCCACGCCCGCCCTACGTGGCTGGGTTGTGGTCGTGTGGTACCAAGGGTCCACGTGGGACTGTGGAGGGTCCAGGGGGCCATGTGTGGCTGTGGAGTGTCCAAGGGAGGCTATGGTGGCTGTGGAGGGTCCAGGGGGCCATGTGTGGCAGTGGAGGGTCAGGGGGCCATGTGCAGCTGTGGATGGCCAGCACCAAGTCAGCTCCTGCCATGTGGACTGCTGGCAGGAGAAACGCTGGCCCTGGTGGCCATGCTGACCGCCCCTGCGGAGGCTGAGAGATCATGGACACAGTGCAGCTCACACCACCTGGAACCGCCCTGGTGGCTCCGGATACCCCAGGCGCTGGTCAGGGGTGCTGTGGCGTGGACGGCAGGGGGGCAGATCGCTGGCCAGACCTGTCCAGATGTCCACCTGCACGGGACACTTCCTGCTTTGTAGAGTCACCCGGCCCTTGAAGAGCTGTGGTCTGGGGGACGGTGGGTGAGCCAGCGTCCAAGCGGTGCCAGCAAGAAGCACTTCCCATCGGTCACTGGACCTCCAGAGAGCAGAGGATGCCCATGTCCACTGCCCGGCAGCCAGGCCAGCGGGCAGGGTCCTCCTAGCAGGGACGGCCTCGGGCTGTGGACATGCACGGGCTCTGTTCACGCTGCCCAGGGCCTCCAGGGTGTCACTGCCCACGGCCGGCCCAGGGCAGGGCTGAGGGCCAGCTCACGGGGTCCTCCAGGAGAGGAGTGCTGTCCACTGCGGAAGTCCACCGGGCACTCCCTCCTCCGTCCCTGGAGAAGCACGGAGGCTTCCTCTCACCCGCACACCTGGCTGCTGAGTCAAGCCATTTCCCAACCCCGAGCTGGCAGCACAGGACGGCGCCCATGGGGCTGGGCACACCTGAGGGACACCGCCCGCCAGTCAGCACCCAGCCACGCAGAGCCCGGGCAACGGATGGCCCCCCACGGTGACCACGGTCACACGTCACACGGGCAGGAGGCTCCAGCTGTGGATGATCATGCCTTGGTGACCACGTCACAATTCACTCCCGGGGCAGGGACAACGGATGATTCCAGGCCTTGGTGACAATGTCACATGTCACACCAGGGCAGGACGATCCAGGCCTTGGTGACCACACTACATGTCATTCCCATGGCAGGGACAACGGATGATCAGGCCTTGGTGACCACTGACCTCCATCATTCCAAGGGCAGGTGGTGGCCAATTCTTGGTGACCACTGACCTCCATCACACCCGGGGCAGGTGGTGACCAGGCCTTGGTGACCACTGGCCTCTGTCACTCCAAGAGTAGGTGGTGGCCAGTTCCTGGTGACCACTGGTTCATGTCACACAGTGTCCATATTGGACCAGAGAAGAGCCCCACAGAGCGAAGGTGTCCCGGTGGGCTGTGGGTGTGGAAGTGTCCCCTGGTCCTCACCTGGGTCTGTGACAGTGGTCCACTCAAGCTTTGAGAATGGCCCTTGCTGCTCTGGGGACGGGCTCTTCTCCTCCTGTCCCTGATGTCCCCTCCCTCATCTCAGGGTCACCTTCCTGCCTCCTCCGAGGCAGAGGTATCTGTCTCTGAGCCCACACCCACCACAGGACTGGAGTCATGCAGGCTTTGGGGATGGCCCCAGAGGACCTCAGTAATGGCCATCGCCCCGGTCAGCAGTGGGTGACAGCTCAGCAGAGACCAGGGACCGCGGCCTCGGGGTCCCCTCTTTCAACGCCCTTTGCTGCGAGGGGCAGGACCCCACCTCTGGGACCCGAGTGCCGTGCCTCTTGGCCAGCAAAGCCATAAACCCCCGTGTTCCCTTTTCTCCAAAGCACTTCCTGGTCGTTGGATTGGTTCGGGGACAAGGGCCAGGTTTCGGCGACAAGCACCGGGGCCACTCAGGAGGAGAGGCCCTCACTTCAGGGAAGGTCAACACTCCAGGGAAGGACCGGCAGTTTGCTGAGGCGGTGCTCACAGATCAAAAGCCACCGGCGCTGGGATGTCGCAATCCCAGGCAGCTCGGGTGACCCTGGTGAGCAGCAGCCACGGGGGTGGGCAGTGCGGTCCCCGGGGGGGGGGGGGGGGGGGGGGTCTCTGCTGTCCCTCCCTGGGGACCCCTGGGGCCCCGCCGGTCCTGCCTGGGTGAGGACCCCTGCCGGGCTCCTGGGGGCGGAGCTGGGGGCGGAGCTGGGGGCGGAGCTGGGGGCGGAGCTGGGGCGGAGCTGGGGCGGAGCTGGGGGCGGAGCTGGGGCGGAGCCTGCGGTGGCCGAGCCGCGCTGGGACAGGTCTGCTCCCGAGGCCACGCCTCCGTCCCCGGCGGGAGGCGGCCGGCCCCTAGTGGCAGCCGGGCAGAGTCTCTTAGGAAGTGCTGGCCGACCGCAGCCGCCGGAAACCCGCTGCCGGGAGGTAGGTGCCAGTCGCGTCCCTCCAGGGCGCAGGGGCCAGGCGGGTGCCGGGCCGCGACAGCACAGTCCCGCTGAAGGGGGCTCAGGGTTCCTGTCTCAGGACCCCAGGTTCCCCCGCGCGGGACTCGGGCTGCAGGGGGCCGGGTCAGCGGGGGGCCTGTGCTCCCAGGTGGACTCCCCGAGGCCCCCCGGGGGCGCTGCCCGGATCTGGGAATTCCTCCCGGCCAACCGCAGAGGCGGCTGCTGTCCTGGGCACCCCGCCCCAGAGGCCCAGGCTGCGGGAGGCGGAGGCGCTGGGTGAGGGCTGGGGCCAGGTGAGGAGCGCGGGACGGCCGCGGGACGTCCACTCCGTCCCCTATTCGCCACAAGGCTATGCGTTGACTGTCCCCTACCGTCACGCAGGGCACACGCCCTGGGACCAGGAGCCGCCCTGGACTCTTCCCGGCCATTCACCTGGCAACCTGCTGCGGTGGACCAGTCACCAGTCACACACGTCCTCTCCTTCCCAGGTGGCCCCTTGGCTGTGAAGACAGGCAAGATCAGAGGAGCAGGTGCTGGCCTCGGGGGACCCCAGGTGTGTGGCCAGGGACACAGAGACTGTGGGGAGGGGGGCACAACCCTCCGGCCTCCCGGTCTGTACCCCAGTCTTGTTCAGTGACCGGGAGGAGCGAGCTCAGGGATGCACCTGTGTCAGGTGACGCCTAGGTTCTGGGCAGGTGGGAGAGTCCCCAGTGTCAGGACCTGCTGTGGTGGGTCACTGTCACCTGGTGTGAAGGTCTGGGGAAACCACAGTCCCCATTATTGCCAGGTGAGAAGGGTCTGGGGACAAGACAGTCCCCATTGTCACCTGGTATGTAGGTCTGGGGACAAGACAGTCCGCATTGTCATCTGGTGTGAAGGTCTGGGGACAGGACAATCCCCACTGTCACCTGATGTGAATGTCTGGGGACAAGACAGTCCCCATTGTCACCTGGTGTGAAGGGTCTGAAGACAAGACAGTCCCCACTGTCACCTAGTGTGATGGTCTGGGGATAAGACAGTCCCCATTGTCACCTGGTGTAAAGGGGCTGTGGACAGGACAGTCCCCATTGTGGTCTGGTGTGAGGGTCTGGGGACAGGACAGTCCCCTGTGTTGCCTGGTGTGAGGGTCTGAGGACAGGACAGTCCCCACTGTCGCCTGGTGTGGTGGTCTGGGGACAGGACAGTCCCCATTGTCATTTGGTGTGAGAGTCTGGGGATAGGACAGTCCCCATTGTTACCTGGTGTGAGGGTCTGGGGACAGGACAGTCCCCTGTGTTGCCTCCTCTGATGGTCTGGGGACAAGCCAGTCCCCAGTGTTAGAACCTGCTGTGATGGAGGGCCCTGGGGTGTGGGGACACTTTTCAGTGGCAGGATAAGTTTCAGGTATCTGGGGATTTGGGGACTGTGGACACCTTTGCATACACCCACCACCCATCCACTCTGACTGTCCATCCACCCACTCACACCCGTCTACTCATCTGTCCATCCTTCTACCATCCATTTACTCATCCATCTATGCACCCACCCACCCACCCCTGCCTCCCCACCCACCCCCGCCTCCCCACCCACCCCCTCCACTATCCACCCACCCCCGCCTCCCCACCCACCCCCTCCACTATCCACCCACCCCCGCCTCCCCACCCACCCCCTCCACTATCCACCCACCCACCCACCCCCTCCACTATCCACCCACCCATCCACCCATCTATCTATGCATCTACCCTCTACCCACCTACTCACCCACCCATCCATCCACTATCTATCCACCCCCTTCCACCCAATCTCTACCCATCCACCCATCCATTCACCCACCCATCCCCTATCCACCCACCCATCCACCCACCCATCCACCTACCCTCGTCCCATCCACTCATTCTTATGTCATTCTTCTGTCACAGGTTGTAGGACTGAGATCAAAGTCTGGAGGACCCCCATAGCCCTTAACACCGACTTGGTTACAGTCTCGCTGATGATTCTGGTGGCCTGAGTTCCACCGAGGGGCAGGTGACAGCCTGTGGGCAGGCAGGGGTGTGCTGGTAGGTGGTCAGGAACCAGCTGTATAGAAGGAAAGGCCCATGTGTCCATGTGTTGTCCACCATGGGTGGGTGAGCTGGTGGGGGACACACACATAGGTGGTCTACAGTGGGTGAGCTGGTGGGGGAGGTGCATAGGTGGTCCACAGTGGGTGAGCTGGTGGGGGAGGTGCACATAGGTGGTCCACAGTGGGTGAGCTGGTGGGGGAGGTGCATAGGTGGTCCACAGTGGGTGAGCTGGTGGGGGAGGTGCACATAGGTGGTCCACAGTGGGTGAGCTGGTGGGGGAGGTGATAGGTGGTCTACAGTGGGTGAGCTGGTGGGGGAGGTGCATAGGTGGTCCACAGTGGGTGAGCTGGTGGGGGGAGGTGCACATAGGTGGTCCACAGTGGGTGAGCTGGTGGGGGGAGGTGCACATAGGTGGTCCACAGTGGGTGAGCTGGTGGTGGGGGAGAGATGCGTGTGTATGAGGTCTACCGCACAGAGCTGGTGGGAGGAAATGCGCATGCGTGGTCTACGGCCCGAGCTGGGGGGCAGATGGGAGCTGGGGGGCAGATGGCACCGCGCCCTTTACTGGGGTCCTGTGCGATAAAGTAACCACACGCCCCAGTCTTTAGAGTAAGGTGCCCCAGAACTAAGCGGGTGGATCTGGGTCTGGATGTCGCAGACCCATGTGAGGGATTTGTAGCACACGATCAACCAAAACCAGCGACAGGGCTGGGGGTGTAGCCCAGTTGGGGAGCCATTGCCTGGCTCTTGGACCCCACGGTGCCTGAGAGCAGGGGACAGGGCAGGCGCCACCAGGCACCAGGGCTCAGGAGTGCAGGGTGGCTTGCATACGCCGTCTTCTCCCTGTGTCTTCTCGGGGTCTCTCTCTGTGTGCGTCTATGTTCTCATCTCGTTTTCTTATGAAGACACCAGTCCTGTGGGTCAGGGCCACCCTGGGGAGCTCACTGCACCTCCATCACCTTTGCAAAGACTTGTCTCCACACACGGCACATGCCAAGGTCCTGGGGCCAGGGCCGTAGCAGAGGAATCTTAGGGAGACTGGGCTTAGCCCATGACCATGACCCTCCCTCCCTCCCTCCCTCCCTCTCCCCACAGCCCACCACACCATCCCTCTCCTCCCAGGGAAAGTCTATTGATTGCATTTTCCCCGGAGCCAGGACCCCTGTGTAACTAGCAGTTTAACAACAACAACAACAACAACAACAACAACAAAACCCTTTTCCTTTCTCAGGCTGCACGGTTGGCTTCCAATGGGTGGGCAGGTGAGCGCTTCTGGAAGCTTCCGGAGCCTGCCCTGCGCAAATGCCAATGCGGACTGGATGTCGGCGCTGTGTCCCCGGCTCTGGGATGTGCCCCTGCACCACCTGTCCATCCCAGGTGAGGCCGCTCAGGTGGGCGTCCCCATGGTGGGTGGGTCCTGGTGGGGAACCGGCCGGGCCTGGTGCACCTGTGTGCATGCGCGCGCGCACACATGCACACACACGCACACACACACACACAGCTCGGAAGGTGGCATAGGAGGGTGGGCGGTGGTTCAGGCGACGCCGGTTAGACATGACTGAGGCAGCGTGGTTGCTGATGGTTGTGAACGTGCCATCCGTGTCACTCAGCAGAAAACGAAGTGTAAGATGGTTTCCATCAGCAGATCTGCAGGGGACAGGCGCCAAGGATGGGGAAACGGGCGCCCTCTGCCTGCGGGGAGGCTGCACCGCTAAAGTGGGGGTTGACAGCGGATCCCTCTGTCCAAGTGCGCGCATCTAAGCAGGAGACCCTTTGCACCGCTAGGAGAAAACCTAGGTCGGCGCTCGATGGAGACCAGCAGGGCTCCTCGGGGGTCTGCAAAAGCCAGGACATAAAGCCAAGAATCGATAGACGACAGACGGGATGGCGCCCTGTTAAAAGCCTCTGCACAGCAAAGGCAGGGGTGTGAAGAGAGAGTCCTGCTGGCTTCTCGCACAGGTGGAAGCCAGGGGGGAAACAAAAAGCAAAACCCAAGGACATTGTGACGGCAGAAGGCGCCGCAGCCACGCCTGACATCCCAGCGACTCGGAGGCTGAGACAGGAGGATGCACGTCAGAGGCCAGCCTCAGCAACTCAGCGAGACCCCGTCTCGAGATAGAAACTAGACAGGGCTGGGGTGCGGCTCAGTAGTGGAGAGCCCTGGGTTCGGTCCCAGCGCCACATGCTCACACGACATGCAGAAGGGCAGGCAGCAGTGGAGGAGGGCCGGGGGAAGGAGGGAGGCCCTGCGGGTGGGAGTCACTGGATTGTGTTAAGGCACCTGCCAACGTGCCACAGCGGAACCCCGTTCTGCACGACTAACGTGCGCCACAGCTTAAAAAAGAGCTCCCAACGGAAAACCCCGTGCTCGATAGAGGATCCGCATCTGGATCAACCGAGGAGGCTCAGGTGGCAGGCTGGAGAGACGGCCCGTCCTAGGGATGACCAGAGAAAGGGCGGCTGTCACGTTGGCAGAGCCGTCCCGTTGTTGGTGTAAGAGATGCGTAAAGACATAACGCCACACGATAATGTGCGTCGATGACGCACAGGGATGGTCCTCCCATGACGCACAGGAACTCTTTTCCTATGACGCACAGGGACGGTCCTTCCATGATACACAGGACAATTCTCCCATGACGCACAGGAACTCTTTTCCTATGACGCACAGGGACGGTCCTCCCATGACGCACAGGAACTCTTTTCCTATGACGCACAGGGACGGTCCTCCTATGACGCACAGGAACTCTTCCTATGACGCACAGGGACGGTCCTCCCATGACGCACAGGAACTCTTCCTATGACGCACAGGGAGGGTCCTCCCATGACGCACAGGAACTCTTCCTATGACGCACAGGGACGGTCCTCCCATGACGCACAGGAACTCTTTTCCTATGACGCACAGGGACGGTCCTCCCATGACGCACAGGAACTCTTCCTATGACGCACAGGGACGGTCCTCCCATGACGCACAGGAACTCTTCCTATGACGCACAGGGACGGTCCTCCCATGACGCACAGGAACTCTTCCTATGACGCACAGGGACGGTCCTCCCATGACGCACAGGAACTCTCCTCCCATGACGCCCAGGGACAGACCTCTCATCTGCACTCTCGTGTTTCTGCAGTCAACACGTACTCACGTCCTGGGGCTGATGTAACAAGTCACCACAAACCAGGGCTTAGAATCATGGGCGTCGTGACCCCCAGCCCTGGAGGGCAGGGGCTGAGACGGGGTCTCCACGCAGGGCCCCTGCCCAGGCTGCAGGTGGGCGTGTGTGGGGCGCTGTCCACCCGCTGGCTGTGAGGGCAGCTGGGGGGCTGCATCTGGGGGACTGATGGCCGTCCCTGTGTTTCCTCCAGGGAGCCACGACACCATGACCTACTGTCTGAATAAGAAGTCCCCCGTGTCCCACAGCGAGTCCCGCTTGCTGCAGCTGCTGAGCAAGGTGGTGCCATGTGTGACGCGCCCCGTGGTGCTGAGGTGGTCTGTCACCCAGGTAAGGGCCACTTGGGGCCGGGAGGTGGACGGCAGGGCCATCGCTCCGCACAAAGCAGCAGGTGCCCCTGGTGGGCGCTCTTGCCTCATGCCGGAGATGGGGGGAGAGCAAGACTCTGAGGCCGCCCCAGGTGGTGGAGAGGCAGGGCTTGGTCACCGGGCAGCATCACACCCGAGGCCGCTGGTCACTGACTGACAGGGGCCACAGGCAGGGGGTGCCTGGGGCTGGCCAAGGCGACAGGCCGTTCCTCCTGCGGCCTAGATAGCCAGCAGCACCCTTCCCGAGGCCCCTCTCCCCACTCCGGAGGGCGCCCTGCTCCTCCCTGGCGCTTGTTCAGCTGCGGGTCAACTCCCAGAGGCAGAAGGGACCCACGCTGCAGGTTCCTAAGAGAAGGGCTCAGGAGAAGGGGGTCCTCTTCCCTGCTGAGGGATGGGGGTCTCTTCCCTGCTCCAGGGCAGGTGTGTGTGGGGGGTCTCTCCTTGCTGCAGGAGGAGGGGGGTCTCTTCCCTGCCCCAGGGCCGAGGCTGTCTCCTCTGGCCCCATCAGAGAGAAGGGCATCTCTGCCTTCACCCCAGGTGCCCCCCTCCTGCACCCAGCCCTCTGCCCAGGTGGGGCAGGTGCCCTAGACCCACCAGGGCATTTGATTTGATGCTGTGCAGAGGGGGCCTCCTGGAGGCTCAGCTGGCCTCAGCCACCCCTGGAGAGGCCGGGGAAAGGGGCGCCCCTCCATTCTGGGGAGGAAAGAAGGCTGGCAGGAAGCGGGGCCCACCCCGGGGAGGAGATGGACCACTCTTCCTCCTCTGCCTCCTGACCGAAGACTGTTGGTGACAAAAGGTTTGAGTGTCAGGGGTTTCCCAGGGACACAAGACTGCCCCCAACGTCCAGCTCTGTCCTGTTGAATGTACTGTTTCTGCGTCTTAGTGACCACGGGGGCAGCAGGAGCTGTGGGGACCTGCCGGGTGGGGGATGAGCACCTGTCAGGGGTCAGAGCCTGCAGGGGGTGTCCCCCATCCTGCCAGGGGTCTGCAGACAGTGACCCTGCAGGGGAGTGTCCCCCATCCTGCCAGGGGTCTGCAGACAGTGACCCTGCAGGGGGCGTCTCCTCATCCTGCCGGGGTCTGCAGACAGTGACCCTGCAGGGGGTGTCCCCCATCCTGCCAGGGGTCTGCAGACAGTGACCCTGCAGGGGGTGTCCCCCATCCTGCCAGGGGTCTGCAGACAGTGACCCTGCATGGGGGCGTCCCCCATCCTGCCAGGGGTCTGCAGACAGTGACCCTGCATGGGGGCGTCCCCCATCCTGCCAGGGGTCTGCAGACAGTGACCCTGCAGGGGGGTGTCCCCCATCCTGCCAGGGGTCTGCAGACAGTGGCCCTGCAGGGGGGCGTCCCCCCACACCTGTCCTCTGGTGGTCGTCCTCTCCTGCCCCGGGGCTGTCCACTCCCACTGCATGGCCCTCCCACTCTGTCTGGTGTCCTGCTGAGCACCCTGCATCCTGACTGGGGATGCCAAGGGCTGGGTGGATCCAGGGCTGTGGGGCATGCGCCCCTAGTGGGACCCCTTCCCAGAGACTGTCGGGACAAGGGTGACCGTGACTGCCCGATGTCCCAGAGACCAGCATTAGGGCTGGGGTGGACTGAAGCCCAGGACGGCAGCGGGCCCTGGCTGTGCAGCTGAGGCTGCTCACCCCAGAGCAGGTCTCCCCAGGGTGGGGCCCGGGCAGCTCTGGCCCCGCGTGCGGCTGGCGGTTCAGCAGACACCCAGCGGGGGCCCCAGACAGTGCTGCACAGTGCGCAACCTCAGCGCCTCCTGAGCCCCAGGGAAGGGCGATTCACCCAGGAGGGAGCGGCAGAGATGACGGGGCGTCCCTCGGCAGGCGCTGGACGTCACGCAGCAGCTGGACGCCGGGGTGCGGTACCTGGACCTGCGCATCGCGCACATGCTGGAGGGCTCGGAGAAGAACCTGCACTTCGTACACATGGTGTACACGACGGCGCTGGTGGAGGTACACAGGGGCCTGGTGGGGCAGGAGGTCGGCTGCCAGAGGCGGGGCAGCCACGTGCAGGTCCAGGCTGGTGGTCAGACCTTGGGGATAGCCTGAACAGCGCTCCCTGGGCTTGGCGGTCTCCCCGCTCAGTGAGCAGAGGCTCCCCACATTTGCAAAGTGGGCGGAACCAGCCCCCAGACCCGTTAGGTTCTCGGAATCCATTCTCTTCCCGAATGCCCGAGGCTTTCTAAAGTCTGAAGGGCACAAGCTGCGTCCTCCCAAAGCCTGCGGGCTGTTCCCTGTGTCCCCACCCCGTGTCCCCACTGCACCCCGGGCTCCCAGTCTAGAAGCACCTACTCTGGGTCACTTTGTGCCGCTGGCCTGGCTCACGCCCCGGAGCCTTGGGACCCCACACCTTTGACTCACAGAGGCTTGTGTTTGGAGTGTGCTTGTACACAGACACCTGCACACGTGTACACACGCATGTGACACAGACACACGCAGAAATGCAGACACCCGGCATACATGCGCACACACACAGACATGCACGAACACACACAGATACGCACATGCACGTGCCGTGCAGATGGACACGTATGCGTTTGTGTACGCGTGAACACAGGTCAGCACACAGATCCAGATTCACATGTGCTGACATGCACACATACAGATGTGCATGCACACAACACGCAGGTACAGGCATGTGCACGGACATGGATACAGACACCTGTGAACAGATATGCTCCGTGTGCACTCACACCCGTGAACAGACGTGTGCGTGCCCACAGGACCGTGCATGCCCTCCTGTGCCTGGGCCACCCTCCCTCCTGCTGGCTTCCCCCCGCCCCCCTCCCGGGAGGCTATGTGTCCTCTGGGCCAGTCCGGCCTCCCGTCTGCAGCCGAGGAGGCCCACCTCCCAGGAGGCCCCTGGCCCTGCTGCCCTGTGGGCCCGACTGACCCTGGCCCCTCACCCAGGACACCCTCACGGAGATCTCCGAGTGGCTGGAGCAGCACCCCCGGGAGGTGGTCATCCTGGCCTGCAGGAACTTCGAGGGGATGACGGAGGACCTGCATGAGTACCTGGTGGCCTGCATCAGGAACATCTTTGGGGACATGCTGTGCCCCCGAGGGGTGAGGAGGGTGCCTGTGCCCCAGGGCTCTCCTGGGCACTGTGTCCAGGGCTTGGTGTGTGTGTCTGGTCTGGCGGGGACAAGCCGGTCATCAGGGCCTTCTGGCTTCCCTGTGAGGGGGGCCGGGCAGCCTGGCAGGGAGGGCCTCTGGGGCGAGCGTGCAGCAACGCGATGGTCTGTGTCACCCACCGGGCACTTGGCTGGGTCTCGGTGCCCTCACCTGGCACCCAGCCGGGGCTCAGGACATGAGACGCAGCCCTGGAGGCCAGAGGCCAGCCCCGGTGCTGACTGGGGTCCCGAGAGGATGCGGCCACCTTCCAGCTGCTGGGGGTGTCCCGCTGTGGCCCTGGCATCCCATGTGTCTGTGCCCAACACCCCCTTTGACAGCACGGGGCACCCGTCACGGGATTAGGGCCTGGCCCCTCCAGAGTGACCCATGCAGCTGATGAGACCCGCAAAGCCCTTCCCAGTAGGTCCCGGGTGGGGGCTTGGAGCGTGGGCTGGGGACACAGGTCGCCCTCAGCACAGCCAGGGGTCAGCTGTAGTAGGTCCTGCATCCGGGCCAGTCCCTGCAGGTGCCCTTGTGGGTCTCAGGGCCCTGGGTCACTGCAGGTGCCCTCCTGGGACACTAAGCCACGGCGTCACCTCAGAGGCACAGTGCCGGGCGGGCCACCCAGCCCCAGGCTCCCCTCACCCGGCACCCCACCCCAGTGACCCCATCCCTTGCAGGAGCTGCCCACGCTGCGGCAGCTGTGGGCGCGGGGCCAGCAGGTCCTGCTCTCCTACGAGGACGAGGCCTCGGTGCGGCGGCACCCGGAGCTGTGGCCGGGAGTCCCCTACTGGTGGGGCAACAAGGTGAAGTCGGAGGCCCTGATCCGCTACCTGGAGGACATGAAGAGCTGCGGCCGCCCGGGTAGGAGGCCGGCCCTCCCGGGCCCACGGAGGGGACGGTCAAGGAGGCGGCCTGGCCGGCGTCCCCTCACGCTCGTGTCCCGCAGGGGGCCTGTTCGTGGCCGGCACCAACCTCACCGAGGACCTGGAGTACGTGCTGGCGCACCCGGCCGGGTCCCTGAAGGAGGTGACCCTGTCCAGCCTGCCCGCACTCAGCGCCTGGGTCCGCGAGCAGAGCCCGGGGCCCGGCGCCCGCTGCACCAACATCATCGCCGGCGACTTCGTGGGCGCCGACAACTTCGTCGGCGACGTCATCGGGCTCAACCAGAAGCTGCTGTGGGGCTGACGGTCCCCTCCGGTCAGCCGGGGGCAGCCCGGGGGCAGCCCTGACCCCGGCTGGGCGGGCGCTGCTCCAGATCCCGCGAGAAGACGTCCTCCGAGCTCCAGATCCCGCGAGAAGACCTCAATCCAAGGGATGTGCCTGTGGTCAGGGGTGACCACGGGGTGGGTCCAGCGGGTGTATCCCGGGCAGTCCCGACCACGGGGTGGGTCCAACGGAAGTGCCCTGGTCAGCCATGGATGTGCTCATGGGCATGGCCATCATGATGGGTCCAGCAGATTTGTCTGTGGTCAACGATGACAACTGGGATGGGTCCAGCGGGTGTGCCCTGGTCAGCCGCGACCAAGGGATGGCTCCAACGAATGTGCTGTGGTCAACCATGACTGTTGGGATAGGCCAGTGGGCGCACCCTGGTCAGCCATGACCATGGGGATGTGTCCAGCGGTGTGCCCTGGTCAGCCATGACCATGGGGATGTGTCCAGCGGTGTGCCCTGGTCACCGAGGCCTACTCAACCCAGCGGGAAGCATGGCCTGTGCAGGGTGGGGATGCCAGGAGAGGGGTCAGGGCCTCCTCATCCTGTGCTTTAGAAAGTCCCCGCTTCCAAGAGTGTCGCGTCCCCTGGACGGATGGGGTGGGGACCTGTGCAGAGACCCTCTTGCAGTACTCAACACATGGCCTGGCTGTCAGCTCACTCTGACGCCGCCCTTTCCCCGGGCAGCAGGCTCCTGGGGACCCTGGTCCATCTTGCTTTGGCCAGCTGTTAGTGGAGGGCCTGAGGGGTGGCCAGTGGGCGGTCCTGCATCTGCAGGCCCCACAGTGTCACGGGTGGTGTGGTCTGTGTTCTAGTCTCTGCATCCTGGAGCTCGGGCGCCTGGACTTGCAGGCCGGGGTGGGGGGGGGGACTGTCCCCAGAGGTCAGAGGCTCCTGAGACCCCGCCCCTTGCAGGCTGGCTTCTCCAGGGCCAGCGTTTCCTAGACCCTCCTGGTGGGCACCTGCTGCTGGAGGCCCTGGGCACTGAAGGAGCCCAACCCGGGCTGTTTCCCAGCCTCCTGCCCACTGGGCAGGCCCGGGCAAGGCTGGGGGCTCCCTGGGCGCTGGCCCTGCAGGCGCCGGTGACTGGGTCAATCTGGACCTCCCGCAGCTGCTGTGGCTGGGGTGCCACCTCCCGGTCCCAGGTCCCTTTAAACCCCGCAGGTGGCCGAGAGGCCTGGTCCTGCAGCCTGCCGCAGCCCTGCAGAGCCGGTGTTCCCTGGCCATCTGGATGCCCACGACGCGTCACGGCACCCGTTACGGGCCGTCCTGCCGTCAAAGAAGGGCGCAGACCCGGGTGTTCAGGACCGTCTGGAAATGGCGCCCTGGTCTGCGAAGCCTGTTGCACTTGGGACCCGCAGGGTGGTTTCAGAGGAAGCTGCTCGGGCTTTGTGGTCACCTGTCATGGCCGTGTCACGGCCGAGACGCGGCACAGCAGGACCAGCTCTGGGCACATCCCAGCACTGCCTGGCCCCTCCCCGCCACCAAGCACCCTGGGGACAGCCCTTGGATGCTCAGGTCACAAGGGCGTCATTTCCTGTCTTAGGAGCCACCATTCAGGGTTAGTCCACCCTTGAGGACAATTAAAAGGAACCAAGCCAAACACGAGTGACTGTGGTGCCAGACTCGGGAACAGAGGGAGCCTGCGACAAGAGGCTGCTGCTGGGGGGGGGGGGGGGGCCTGCCCCTGTCCCCTGAGAAGCCCAGGCCCTGTCCCTGGGACTCCGAGACCTCCAGCCTCAGCCCTGGGCTCAGGGAGGCCCCCGCGTGTCCCGTGGACCATAGGGACCCCAGCCTCCCTCTGGGCTCAGGGAGGCCCCTCCTCTCCCTGGGCCATAGAGACCCCCAGCTTCTTCCCATCCTCAGGTCTGGGCTAAGGAGGCTAGAGTGAGGAGTCCGGTAAGACCCTGGGCGGCTGGAGGGCAGCTGGAGGGCAGCTGGGGGACAGGAGCCTGGGCAGGTATCAGGAGACCAGATGGCCAGGGTGGGAGGTTCTTGATGGACTATCTGAGCAGGACCCACAGCTGGGCCCAGCCGCCCAGCAAAGGTGGGATTACAGGCCCTGCTGGGAGCGCGCGCCCTTGGCAGGGTCGCCTGAACCCTCCCCCATCCAGACTCCTCCCCCATCCAGACTCCTCCCACCTCCCACTGCTGCCTCTTACCTCAGGCTGCCTCCTCCCACCTCCCACAGCCCCCTCCCACCGACTCCTCTCAGGCTCCCTCCTCCCACCTCTCACAGACTCCTCCCACAGCCTCCTCCGGCCTCTTTCCACTCCTGCAGGCTCCTCCCACCTTCTGCAGACTCCTGCCACCTCCCAGACTCCCCTCAGGCTGCCTCCTTCCACTCCCATAGGCTCCTCCCACCTCTCACAGACTCCTCCCACCTCAGGTTGCCTCCTTCCAGTCCTGCAGGCTCCTCCCACCTTCTGCAGACTCCTCCCCCTCCAGCGGCCGGCTGCCCTCCTCCTTCCTGCTTGGGGCCCCTGATGACCCCTCCAGCATGAGGGCCTTCAATCACAAGGCCGCTGTGAGCCCGAACACGCGGCTGGACACGGAAGCGGCCCTGCTCCCTATTGGCCACTGTCCCCAGCAAGCACCCCAGCAACGAGCGGTGCTGTTCGCACACCTGACATGGACTTTAATAGCAGCAGGGACACCACAGGCTGACCAGCTGCGGGAGGGGTGCAGGCTGGGCCGACCGCCGGCCCTGCTCGGCCGTGGGCGGGGTGGGGGTGCAGCCAGCGAGGCCGCGGCCACTTGTTTCCAGTTCGGAAGCCACACAGTGCCCAGCGCAGGCGAGTTCATCCTGGGAAGAGCTTCCGGAACTTGCCATAGGCCGAGTTGCTGATGATGACCTTCACGTGGGCTGCCCCGGCCTCAGGCAGCACGTCCACCTGCTGCACCGTGGCCTCCTCGTAAAGCCAGCTGGGGGCAGAGAGGCCCGTCAGGGCGTGGCCGTCTCTGAAGCCCAGCCCACCTCTCCCCACTGCCCACAGCGCTCCCCAGCCCCGGAAGGTGGTGGTGGGAGCGGCTCCTTCCGCCCCCAGGAGAGGGCTGCTGGAGGCCCGGGCACACTGGAGGTGGACAGGACGTGCAGCCCTGCAACATGAGCGAGCACAGCTTAAGCACCTGGTGTATGCACATGCCAGCATCAGCATGGACTTCCACGCCCACTACCCACCCTCTGTGCACGGAGGCAGCTAAAGGTGGCCATGCTGCAAGGCCCAGGCCCACCGCCGTCCGGGGGCAGACCCGGGTCTGGGTCCCTCACCTGAGCTGCGGCCCGGCCAGCTTGATGTGCAGGGTGAGCACCTGCCTCCCGGTGGCCCTCAGCACGGCCTCCTCCAGCCCCACCCTCAGCTCCTCCAGCCCCTGTCCCAGGAGGGCGGACACGGCCACTGCGCTCGGGTCTGGGGGACGGTACCTGAGAGAGGCCAGCACACCGGTCAGCCCTGGGGCAGCTGCAGAGGTGAGGTCCCACCCAAGGGGCCCAGCCTGGGTGCTCTGGGTGCTCCTCGGGGGACCAAGTCACTTCAACAGGAAAGGCCACTGCCACCAATGTCACAGGGAGGCTGGATGCCAATGGCCCTTAGCAGCACTGGGAGATGGACACGTCTGTCCCTCGTGGGAAAGCCACAGTCCACCCCGACCCTCCCCGATGGGGATGCCCAGGGAAGGAGAAGCCTGTGGGTGCAGCGCGGCCCACTCACCCCGGAACCAGGTCCACCTTGTTGTGCACTTCGACCACGGAGTCCAGCAGAGGGGCGGGCAGGCCCAGGCCCTGCAGGGCAGACAGGACGCTGACTTTCTGCAGCTCCGTCTCGGGGTGGCTGACGTCTCTCACGTGCACAATGAGATCCTGGTGGACAGGGAGGCCACGGGTCAGGGGACTTCCATCCCCACCTGCCTGTGGACAGGCCACATGGTCAGGGGGCTGCTGTCCCCACCTGCTTGTGGATAGGCCACATGGTCAGGGGGCTGCCGTCCCCACCGGCCTGTGGACAGGTACATGGTCAGGGGGCTGCAGGGCTGCCGTCCCCAGCTGCCTGTGGACAGGTACATGGTCAGGGGACTGCTGTCCCCACCTGCTTGTGGATAGGCCACATGGTCAGGGGGCTGCAGGGCTGCCATCCCCAGCTGCCTGTGGAGAGGCCACACGGTTGGGGACTGCTGTCCCCACCTGCTTGTGGATAGGCCACATGGTCAGGGGGCTGCCGTCCCCACCGGCCTGTGGACAGGTACATGGTCAGGGGGCTGCAGGGCTGCCGTCCCCAGCTGCCTGTGGACAGGCCACATGGTCAGGGGGTAAAGGTGAGGCCCTAAGCAGCTCAAGGAGACCCAGTCTCTAATAAAACACAAAACAGGCTGGGGACGGGGCTCCGGGGTCGTGCTCACCTGCCTGTGGGAGGCCCAGGAGGGGCTCGAGGGCACCACCGCCTAGGAAGGTGGCAGTGGGGGTGGCCCTGACCCCCAAGACAGGGCTGCTGGAGGCCAGGACATGTCCGAGGTGGACACAGGCTTCCTAGTTCCTGTGCCTGGGTCCTGCCACCGCCCGCCAGCACCCCGTCTCCAGTGGCTGGCCTGGCCTCCCGGGCCCCAGAACGAGGAGCTGCCCGTGGAGGCTGGCCGGCGCCCTGCCCTGGCCCCCACGCACAGCCTGGGCCTCCGTGAGGTCATTGTGACTTCTGCAACTTCTCCAGGAGAAGCGTGGCCCACGGGTGGGGACAGTCCACCCCGTCGGGGCTGGACCGTGAGACGGTTTGCATGGGAGGTTCCTGGCTGCGCCACCAGTCACACTGCCCGTCCGCTCACCTCCGCGCCTGGGCCCCAGGAGCTGGACAGGTAGGAGGAGCCTCCCTGGAGCCTGTGACCCCTGGTCCAGCCTCTGCCCTCCAGGGCTGGGGGAGCTGGACTCCTGTGGTTTCTGTCCCCTGGGGAGGCCCAGGGACTCCTGCTGGAGCTGGAGGATCATGTCCTACGGAGGGGCCTGGCCCCCAGGGCTTGTCTATGGGGTCTTGTCCACAGGGCCACCCAACTCACCGAGTGGGCCACATCCTCCAGGGTGGCAGAGAAGGACTCGATCAGGCCGTGGGGCAGCTGGGAGAGGAAGCCGATGGTGTCCATGTACAGGACGGTCATGCGCGAGGGCAGGGATCCTGCATGGGCCGTGATGTCCAGTGTGGCAAACAGCTGGTCCCGAGGCTGCGCGGCCTCGTCACCCGTCAGGGCCCGGATCAGTGTGGTTTTCCCTGGGGGAGGCACAGGACACACACACGAGGTCCCAGGGAGCCCCGCCTGGCCTGGCCACAGGCCCTGTCCACCCCTGAGACCCGGCCCTGGCAGAGGCAGCAAGATCCAGTTTACCCAGGCCCTGGGTGCCAGCTCCTCAGCGACCCTGGTGGCCAGAGAGGGAAGGTACAGGACTAGCCCTGGGTCGTGTGCAGCCAGGAGGGGTGGTGGTGCAGGTGACGTGTGCACACAGCATGCGGTGTAGATGGTGGGGTGGGTGCTGTGGACCAGCCTGGTGTGGGGTGGTGTGGATGGACCTGGTTCCTGCACCTGGTGTGGGGTGGTGGAGACGGACCTGGTTCTTGCGGGTGGTGTAGACAGACCTGGTTCGTGTACCTGGTGTGGGGTGGTGTACACGGGCCTGGCGCTGTGCAGTGGTGTCTTGAGGATGGTGTAGGAACTGGGTCTGAAGGTGGCTTTGTGGTGGCCCCTGGTGACCGGCCTCCCCACTGGGCTGCTCCCTGGACCTGCCTCGGGGGCACCTGGGCCATACCTGGCTGCCCCTTCTCAGGCAGGGCCCCGGGGCCCCGGGGGTGCGGACCTGGATCCTCCCGCGTGCAGAGCGCGCACACGGCGGGCTGGCCGCGGGCGTTTATCCTGGGCAGCGACCAGGGGAGCCAGACCCCGCGTCCTGCTCGGGCCTCTGCAGAGCTGCCCGCAGCTGTCTCTGGCCTTCGCTGCGGGGCCGGCCGCGGAACCCGGGCCTGGGCCCTGCCCTGCCGAGGCCGCACTCTGCGGGCGGCGCCTCACCGCAGTTGGTGTACCCGACCACGGCGACCACCGGGAACTCCCGCTTGGCGCGCTGCCTCCGCAGGAGCTGCCTCTTCCTGCGCAGCCTCTCCAGGGCCCTCCGGAGCTTCACCTCCTTCTCCCTCAGGAGGCGCTGCCGCAGCTGCAGGAAGGACTCTCCTGCAGAATCCGAGGGCGGGCGCGTCAGGCGCAGGCGCCAGGGTCGCGAAGGAGCCAACTGCGCCTGCGCCTTCTCAGAGGGCCCCGCCCACCCACTTCTGCCGAGGCCTGGCGCCTCTACCGAGCTTTTCCACGCGGGACCCCGGCCAGCTCCTTTACCCGGGGGGAACCAGCTGAGGGGCGCCTCGGAGGACAGCCTGGGATGACATGCAATAGGGCCAACGTGGCCCGCAAGTCCCTGCCCTGCCCCCCAATCCTGGGTCATTGCTACCTCAGCCCAGAGAGGGCGATGACCGGGACTAGGCTGTGCGTGTCCCCAGCATTGGGGTGCTGGAGACGCAACTGCCAACTCAGTAGCTACTTGTGTTCGGAGGTGGGGTCCCTGGGAGATGAATGGGCCACGCG